ATGAACTATATTACTTTGTACTTGGATAGTAGGTATAAACTTTTGGAATCAAAATTAGAATCCACTCTTAAGAAGTCTCTTGAAATAAAAGAAGAAAAAATTGCTGCTTTAGAAGCTCGATTAGAAGAATCCACGAATTATAACCAGCAATTGCGCCAAGAACTTAAAACAGTAAGTGATTTTCTTGGAAAGAATTTTAAGGATCATTTATTATATAAATATTTGGACAGAAAAATATAAAGTAGAAAATAAAAATATAAAACATTTTATTGATATTTAGTCTATTCCTTTTTCATAAACTTGAGAGTTTTCTTTTTTTTTTTTTTTTTTGAGACGGAGTCTCGCTCTGTCGCCCAGACTGGAGTGCAGTGGCGTGATGTCGGCTCACTGCAAGCTCCGCCTCCCGGGTTCACGCCATTTTCCTGCCTCAGCCTCCTGAGTAGCTGGGACTACAGGCGCATGCCACCAAGCCCGGCTAATTTTTTTTATTTTTAGTAGAGATGGGGTTTCACCGTGTTAGCCAGGATGGTCTCGATCTCCTGACCTTGTGATCCGCCCACCTCGGCCTCCCAAAGTGCTGGGATCACAGGCGTGAGCCACTGCGCCCGGCCACTTGAGAGTATTCTTAAACAGATCTCTGTCATATGAATATGGTATAGCTTATTCAGTGCTATTTCATGTGTGTGATATCCTGCATGCTGTTAGGGATATATCAGAAGTGTGTGGGTGGAATGAGGAAGAGGCAGGCTTATATTATTAGGAAAAGCTCTCATTGTGATATTGACATTTTACTCTGTCACTCTTTCCTATTGAGGATCCAGGGAAAATTCTGCTAAGCAAAATATGACAGCACCTGATCTCATAAATTTGAGGTCTTTTCTAGATCTGTTTTCTTTTGATATTTGGAAGTATTCAGTGAAGTAAGCAAGCAAGGCAGAGATAACTGTTTATTTTCCCTAAGGAAGCAAATCAAAATATAAGGGACTTTCCCATTCCACAGGGTTGGTAGATGGTAGATTGGTAGAGTCATGTTCTGGTTTATTCACCCTTTTATTATCTCTGCAGTGCCCCAGGAGTGGTCTCAAGGTTAACTGAATACTTAGACTGACAAGATTACTATAGGCTACATTTAGAATCATTCTACTCAGAACACTAAAAGAAATATAAATAGGCCGGGCGCGGTGGCTCAAGCCTGTAATCCCAGCACTTTGGGAGGCCGAGACGGGCGGATCACGAGGTCAGGAGATCGAGACCATCCTGGCTAACACAGTGAAACCCCGTCTCTACTAAAAAATACAAAAAACTAGCCGGGCGAGGTGGCGGGCGCCTGTAGTCCCAGCTACTCGGGAGGCTGAGGCAGGAGAATGGCGTAGACCCGGGAGGCGGAGCTTGCAGTGAGCTGAGATCCGGGCACTGCACTCCAGCCTGGGCGACAGAGCGAGACTCCGTCTCCAAAAAAAAAAAAAAGAAATATAAATAGACAGCAGGGCCGTGTCAGTCCATCCTCTTCACGTAGTTGTCTGAGAATAATCTTTCCACCAGATGGTTTACGTATAAGATAAGATTCACGTTGGGTGTGTGCAGGAGCTTTCCTGGCTTTGAATCCTCATGCTCATAGTAGTGATTACCTCTTGCAGCAACTCCAAAGGTATAGATTTAAGATCCCCACAGTGCACATGCCAATTATAGGAGGTGCTGTACTCAGAGAAGTTCAGAGATAGGGCTGCCTATTGGTCTTTAAACTTCTCCTAGTCATTTTTTTCAATAAGCAATATTATCTAGTAACATAGAATGTTCCAATTTTTTTTCACTATTTGCTGACACCATTGCTGCTGTTTGTCACAGACATTGCCATGGAACATACATTGTTACAGAATAAGTTTTACTTATTTTTCATCCAGACATTCTCAGAGCCAGAGAATAAATTTTAGAACTGTGTCTAGTTAACCAAAGGGATTATTTAAAAAAAAAAAAAAAAAAAAGCGCGCACACACACACACACAACACATTAACCTGCTTTTTGTCCTGAATTTTTTACCCCATTAGCTGTATCACTGAGTTGCAAATAAAATCAACTTCATGAAGCTACTCAACCAGAAAATTAGTGGGTTTGGGTATGAGTTGTGTACGTGTGTTTCAAGTAGATATTTAAAATGCCATCACTGGGCCGGGTGCAGTGGCATACCTGTAATCCCAGCACTTTGGGAGGCCGAGGCAGGCAGATCATTTTAGGTTGGGAGTTCAAGACCAGCCTTGCCAACATGGTGAAACCCTGTCTCCACTAAAAATGCAAAAATTAGACAGGCGTGGTGGTGGGCATCTGTAATCCCAGCTAGCTACCCAGGAGGCTGAGGCAGGAGAATCACTTGAACCCAGGTGGCAGAGGTTGCGGTGAGCCGAGATCGTGCCACTGCACTCCAGTCTGGGTGACAGAGTAAGACCCGGTCTCAAAAGCCATCGCTGACTTCCACTTTCAGCTGTTTAGACATAACTGTTATGGACTAGCTTTTTGCTATGTATTCAACTGAATTTATATTGTTATAAACTTTTAATACTATATGTGAAGAAGTATTCTCTTAAAGTAGACTGTGAAAGTTAAATACGAATAGTATAAGGGTTAAAGTAACCACTAAATTCGTATGACAAAGAGATATAGGTAATATGACCAAAAAAGGGAGATAAAATGGACTCATAAAAAATAAATCCAGGTTAGGCACAGAGGCTCATTCCTGTAATCCCAGCACTTTGGAAGGCTGAGGTCAGCAAGATCGCTTGAGCGCAGGGGTTTGAGACCAGCCTGGGCAACATAGGGGAGATCCTGTCTGTTAAAAAAATCCAAAAGGCAAAAAGAAAGAAGAAACAGAGAACAAAGTACAGATTGGACAAATAGAAAACAAATAGTAGGATGGCAGCTTTAAACTAAAGTATGGCAATAACTATATTAGATATAAAAAGTCTAAACACCCCAGTTAAAAAGCAGAGATTAATAAATTAGACAAAAAGGCAAGACCCATCTATATGCTACCTATCAGAAATCTTGATGGAAAACGATATATCATTCTAGCGCTAATCAAAAAATTGCTAGATTGGCTATATTAATGCTAGGCAAAGTAAATTTTAGTGCAATAAATAGCACCAGAGCTGAGTAGTTCATTACATAATTACAAAGGGGTCATTCCAGCACAAAGATTAACAAGGTTAAATGTTTATGCATCTAATAACAGAGGTACACCTAGTAACAGAGCTGCAAAATAGATGAAGCAAATATCTGTAGAACTACATGGAGAAAGACAAATCCACAATTACAGTTAGAGGGTTTAATACTCATCTCTCAATAATTGGAGAATAAGTAGAAAAAACTTCATCTACCAGATAAAGGGCTTCTATAAACAGCCTATAGACTAATCACTTTCCCCTTTTGATCAGGAAGAATACAAAGATTTTGCTCTCACTGTTACTATTAAATGCTGTACCGATGATCCTAACCAGTATACTAAGATAAGAAGAAATGAAAGGCATACAGATTTGAAAGGAAGAAGTAAAAATGTCTTTCTTCACATGTGACATGACTATATTTACAGAAAACCCTGAGGAATTTACAGAAAAATGTCTACAGCTAAGGTGGACTAATCAATGTCACAGGATAAAAGTCAATATATAAAAGTCTATTTTATTTCTCTATATTAGCAATGAAAGATTGGAAAATGAAATATAAAAAAACACCATTTATAATACTATGAAATACTTATGGATGAATTTAAGGAAATGTGTGCAAGAACTCTACTAGAAACACCAAAGGAATACCTCAGTAAATGGAAATAAGAACCATGTTCAGGAATTAGAAGACTCAATATTGTTAAAATGGCAGATTCCCCATATTGATCTCTTGATTCAACATAATCCCAATTAAAATCCCAACAGGCAGATTTACAAGATGATTCTAAAATGTATATGGAAATATTGATCAAATATTAGTGAAAATTGGGAGCAACTGGAACTGTCATGCATACTGATGCAAATATAAGATGTTATAACTAATTTAGCAGGCAGTATGGCAGTATCTCAAAAAGTCCTAGCCCGTGGCCCAGCATGGTAGCTCATGCCTGTAATCCCAGCACTTTGGGAGGCTGAGGCAGGAGGATCACTTGAGGCCAGGAGTTCAAGACGAGCCTGGCCAACATGGCGAAACACTCTCTCTACTAAAAATACAAAAATTAGCTGGGTGTGGTGGTGCACACCTGTAGTCCCAGCTACTCAGGAGGCTGAGCCACGAGAATCACTTGAACCCAGGAGGTGGAGGTTGCAGTGAGCCAAAATTGCACCACTGCATTCCAGCCTGGGCAACAGTGTGAGACTATCTCAAAAAAGAAAGAAAAAGAAAAGAAAAAGAAGGTGATAATGCTACTTCTCTTTACTCAAGGAAAATGAAAACATAGATAAATGAATTTTTTTAGCAGCTTCATCATAATCAAAAAACTGGATATAATGACCAAAAGAAAAAAATTACTGATGTACTCAACACATGGATAAAGCTTAGAAATATACTCAGAAACACACACATACACACACACACACACACACACACAGAGAGATTATATACACTGATTGTATTTGTGTGAAATTTTAGTATAAGCAGAACTTTTATGAAAGAAATGAAAACAGTGGTTGCCTGGTGCAGTGATCTTTCTAGAGTAATGGAAGTGTTCTGTCATGTTGATATATGGGTTATATAGGTGCTTGCCATTCTCAAAATTACCGAATTACACTTAAAATCTGTACATTAGCAACTTCATGCAAATTATAACTCTATTTTTAAAGATTACATTATCTTTGGGAACTGTTGAAAATTTTAAATTTGAATTCATAACATAATTCACAATATTTTAATTAGCTCTAAATTACTTTGTTACAGTGATTTATTTTTATCTAGACTGTGTATTCATTTCCTCTCTGAATATAAATATTTTGATTAATGATACATAATCATTTTTAATACTTACTTGAAAGAACAATGGCTTTAAACTGAGAAGCCTTCGGCCGGATGCGGTGGCTCACGCCTGTAATCCCAGCACTTTGGGAGGCCAAGGTGGGTGGATCGCTTGAGGTCAGGAGTTCGAGACCAGCCTGGGCAACATGGTGAAATCTCGTCTCTGCTGAAAATACAAAACTTAGCCAGGCATGGTGGCACACGCCTGTAATTCCAGCTACTCGGGAGACTGAGGCAAGAGAATGGTTTGAACCTGGGTGGTGGAGGTTGCAGAGTGCCAAGATCGCACCACTGCACTCCAGCCTGGGTGACAAAGTGAGACTATGTCTCAAAAAAATAATATAAAATGAGAGGACTTGAGTTTTATTCTCAGCTCCCCTTCTTAATAACTGCATATGTTTATAGCCTTTCTAAGCCTAGAACAAAGACCTTGTGGGAAATTCATGTAAAATAGAGACTGGAAATGATGCCACTTATCTATTGTTATTAGGGTGTTAAAAGTAAAAACAAAACAAACAAAACCCGGAAACTAGGATCATAGGGTACCCATTAGATGGCTTGCGAAACTTGACATTACATTCTATCTTGGCATCTTTTTAGTCTCACCTCATTATTTTCTAACTCAGCGGTAGCATTATTAATTGTTGAGTTGTAGGCTTTCTTAAGTTGCGCATTAGATGTTGAACTATAAAACATTTCTATCCTTGCCTTAATGCAAAGGTTGGGGTTAACTTGAAATTTATTATAAGAATCTCCTAGGATAAACTAGTGCTTCAAGATAGTTTAATAATTCAAGATAAGTATAATAATAGTAAATTTGAGTTGAAGAGAAAGAGTTATTAAGTTAAATCTGGCAAATTTGGTCATATATGATGAGCAAGTTGGTCATGTATGATGAGTTAACAATCCTTGGATTGTTCGCAATCCAAGGATATATCTTCTCTAGGATTTTCTAGTGTGATTATAATCTACTTTAAGAGAGCCAACTCAAAACTAAAAAATCCTGAATACGATATGTCCTTAAAATTAATAAAGTGTCAAATCTTTGTGCTTTACATAGACATCTCTGTGAAATTTCTAAATTGGTTACAGATAGCTCTAAAAAGAATTGTTAGTCATTAGCAACATATCTATATCCACTCTTATCCAGGGGCATTTGCACGACAAACAATAGGATTTGACATTACTCTGGCACATAAACAGAGTAGGTTTTATATTTCTAGGAGGAAACGATTTGCATTTTAGAAAGCACAAATCATACATGTTATTCATCACATTTAAAAGTATATTGCCTCTCATATTTACCAGATCAGCTCAGAGTCAAATTAATTGTGAGAAATGTAACTGTGGTGATTTTTTTCTCCCCATTAAAATATTTTAAATAAAATTTTAGGTGAAAAAAAATTATGAAGCTCTCAAACAGAGACAAGATGAGGAAAGGATGGTACAGAGCTCTCCTCCAATATCTGGTGAAGACAATAAATGGGAGCGAGAAAGTCAAGAAACAACTAGAGAACTTCTGAAAGTTAAAGACAGATTAATTGAAGTAGAAAGAAATGTAAGTATTTTTTAATTTTAGTAGGAATCTTTTTTTTTAGAAATAGAGGATCACTGGAGAAATTTATCTTAGATATATTGTCTAATATTTAAACAATTGATGGCACTTAATAAGAAAATTCTGGTCATATAGTCCTTTTTCTATTTGTTCGTACCTCAGGGGCCTTTCTTTTTGCTTCTCCTGCCTGGAACATATGACTGGCTTCCCTCAGCATTTGGGTGCCATATCATATGTCCTGCAGAAGGTCTTCCCTGACTCCTTACCCCAGTGAAGTTGTTATCCCCAACTTAAACTATTCACTATTGTTCCATTGCTTTAGTTTTTTCATAGCACTTTTCACAGTGAAATTAAATTTCATATTCATTTATGAAAGCAGGTAATTTGTCTTTCTTTTTTTTTTTTTTTTTTTTTTTACCACCGTGCCTTTAATATCTAGAATAGTGCCTGGTATGTAGTAGACCCTTAACAAATATTTGCTAAATTAGTTCAATATATACTTGACAGTAAACAACAAGCAAACAAGCTGAACAACAAATAGTTACCCTTCAAAAGATGAATAAACTTAAGGAACTTACACAATAGCAAGTAAAATAGTTGTGGTGGTGTTTTTTTTAATTTAACACAAAAATAGTACCTTTAATTAAAAACTAAGCAATAAAACCAAAAAATAATCCCCACACCATTGATTTCTGCTTTCTCATTCAAAAAGAATCACTATGAACAGTTGATCTTCCTAGAAAATTTTTTTGTCATTTATCTGTATATAGAAGTATATTTCTTTTACAAATTTATACCTGCGGGATCATGCTATACAAAATTCCTATTTGCATTTTCTGTTAATATTATCTTGGAGATCTCTCAATTTTAGCAGATGTATGTGTATTTCATTTTGTTTAATGACTACCTATTATTCCATAGTGTGAATGTTACCATAATTTACTTAAATAAATCTCACATTTCTCTACAGTTAGGTTTTTTGTTTTGTTTTGTTTTGTTTTGTTTTTGAGATGGAGTCTCACTTTGTTGCCCAGGCTAGAGTGCAATGGTGTGATCTCGGCTCACTGCCAGCTCCGCCTCCCAGGTTCACGCCATTCTCCTGCCTCAGCCCGCCACCACGCCCGCCCGGCTAATTTTTGTATTTTTAGTAGAGATAGGGTTTCACTGTGTTAGCCAGGATGGTCTTGATCTCCTGACCTCGTGATCCACCTGCCTCGGCCTCCCAAAGTGCTGGGATTACAGGTGTGAGCCACTGCGCCTGGCCCATTTAGGTTATTTTTAAACATGTTCATAGAATGCTAAATTGCTGACAGTGAAATTGCAAGGCCAAAGGATATATATGTGCGTGTGTGTGTGTGTGTGTGTGTGTGTGTGTGTGTGTTTAATTGATATTTTCTATTAGTCTTTAAAAATCCCATCAATTTTCTTTCTTTCTTTTTTTTTTTCTTTTCTGAGACAGGGTCTTACTCATCTCCCAGGCTGGAATGCAGTGGCAAGATCATAGCTCACTGAAGCCTCATCCTCCAAGGCTCAAGTGATCCTCTTGCCTCAGCCTCCCAAGTAGCTGGGAGCACAGGTGCACACCACCACACCCAGCGAATTTTTGTATTTTTTGTTGAGGTGGCGTCTTACTATGCTGCCCAGACTGGTCTCGAACTCCTGGCCTCAAGTGATCCGCTCTCCTCGGCCTCCCAAAGTGCTGGGATTGCAGGTGTGAGTCAGCACACCCAGCATAAAAATCACATCAACTTTCAATCCCACTAAAAGAGTATACCTATCTTTCCATATTAACACTGGATAGTACCTAGTGCTTTAATTTTTGTTAAAGCAATAGGAGAAAATATTTTAATGTGTACATTTAAAATTATGAGTTAGGCATTACACATTTTTCATGTATTTGTTGGCCATTTATAAATACCTATTTTTAATCAGTGATATATATACCTATATTGCCTGGATTCATAATTACATTTTAGAAAATTGAGCTGGCATATGAAGTTCTGTAAGGTGAATCTTTTTTTTTTCTTGTAGACTTCCTTTATAAATTTCCATTGGAAAAAAATTACTTCGTTTCATATTTTAGATAATGGGGTTATAAAGACGGTCAGCCATATAATAGGCTGGTAATTTTTGTGTTTGCCAGTATTATATTTGCTAACTTCTTTCTTTTCCATTGTAAATTTTTTCCTGCTCTAAGATACCCTCTCAGCTATCTCTTCTCTTCATTATAGACTATAGGAATTTTTTTTATTCCTACAGACACCTGGAATAATCGGTAGAGCTTGTACAATTTAGTTTCTAAAGTGCTAAACTACAATAGTATTTCACATATATATGTGAAAAATGGTTCACCTCTTTGTGCTGAGATGGTATATAAATACGTCACTACTGTCAGTATTCCATTTTATTTTTTCTAGTATACATTTTTTCATCCTTTTTATTTGAACAAATGAACAAAAGAGAAATACAAAATCATAATGCATCTTAAAGCATTTTGTTTCCTCAGCTTCAATTTTATAGTATAATATGTGGGTCAAATCCTGACCTGCCTTTTACACAGTGACATGCAGTGTATATAACATAAAGCCAATAAAGTGAATGTTATATTTACATATAGATATGTTAAGAGTGATCTGTTGTGATTCAGTTGTTAACTTTTTATGCATACTGCAGGGTAGACCAATTATGACCTTTAGTATATTAAAGTTTTATTTCTGTTTTCTGGAGGGTTCTTTGTACTTTGCTGTTGCTGATTTTTTATGAAATTTAATTTAGAAATAATCCTGAAAAGATTAATGACAAGTATTTTAAAATATAATAATCATTGATTCGCATAGTAGTTCATTTGTTATAACATTGAAATATGGCCTTACGGAAAAACGGAAAATGTTATGTTTTGTTTGGAAATGCTCCAGGAGTCTTATAGTTGAAGTAGAGTTTTAATTAGCATTTTATATCGTGAGAAAAATAAGAAAATATCTGCGTTAGGTCTGTTGTGGACTGCAAATTTCAAACAGATGGTTAAGATTGTTCCTGTAAACCTGCTTCCCTTTGAAATATTTGTGTTTGGAAATTACTTAGTTTTGCACTATCTCTGGGACCACCACTCACTTAGGTATATATTTGCCTTTGGGTAAATTAGAAAAGATAGATCTCCATGGTTGGACACAGCCCCATTTATTCTGGTCATTCTGGGAACCTTCAAGCAGTATTAAAACCATACAACTGACAATTCCTTTCTAGTTTTTGTGTTAATAAATATATTTAGAATAGGATATTTTATTTTTAGGATATTATAGTGCAGACAAGACACAGGCACAATATTAAGGTTTTAGTATTATTGCCTTCTTTCTGATGAATGTCTGTTTACAATTTGGGATGGGGAAAATGTTTTTTTTTTTCTCTTTTAAGATTGTTGGGGTTTTATGGATTGTACTGCTAATAAATACTCATAGTATAAAATTCAGTATATTATAGAAATATGTTTAGTATTGCTATTGTTATTAATATGTTTGGTTTCGGTTTTTGTTTTTTAAGAATGCTACACTGCAAGCAGAGAAGCAAGCGTTGAAAACTCAACTGAAGCAGCTTGAGACACAAAACAATAA